AATAATACCGGTAATAATAATAATAATAATAATAATAATAATAATAATAATAATAATAATAATAATAATATTGATGAATTAGTTTTCAACCTAATCAACCTAACCCTCTGCACTTCTAGTCCAGATCTTTCTCTTTAGTTTAGATTAAAGTTTATTGCTCACACACTGGGTAAATTGTTATATTGCAGCAACAAGGGCAGAGGTGTTGGGTGGACCCAAGTCCGCTTCCTTAACCACTAAACCACCACTGTAGAATAATTCCACATGAGCAGGATATTATACATTATATACTGCACCTTACAACCTATAGCTAATAGTAGCAAAAAGATTTATCTGTCCTCACTGCCACTGTTCTGATAGAGTACTATGAAGTACAGTATTATAGGCTTGTTCTTTCAACTTCTGCTGCTTTTGTGTCTAAATTTACGACCCTACTCCGTACTCTGACGAATATAAACTTCACCACCAAATTTTATCGGAAAAAAAAGTCAATATTTGAATGACTAATTTTGTTGTTGAGTTGAATTTGCCTATTCAAAAAGAACTGATCAACAAATACAATTCAAAATATTTCTTTGTAGTTATAGTGTATGTGAAGAGTTCATTAGCAAGTTATGATTGACAGATGTAAAGTGAAGTAAAATAAAGTAAATAAGTGGGATCTAACGTAGTTAAACCAAGCGAGCCAAGAGGTAAAAGACTTTTTTATATTTAATGTCAGGCCAGTGACACGATGAAAAGAAAGAGCAGCCCTGCAGAGCATTCCCTATGATACTTCAGTGACTGAACTTACAGTACATAGAGGGTACGCGTGTCAGTAATACTCTGCCACGTGCCTCTTTTACTCCAGCCTCCTTCAAAGTCATCGCTGTGAGCTATTTCCCCTGGCAACTTCAAAGCTTTTCTTTCCACAGGCGTTGCCATAAAAAAAAAAAAGGTCCAGCAACAAGTCAACATGACCGTCAGTTGCTCGCTTTACCATGCCTCCTCTTGCACATACATACACGCCGTCTCTTTCTCTTTTGCTTTCTCCTCCCCAGGGAAAACACTAGCTTGACTTAAATCCTTGGAAGTGGAAGAATTTGCCTTTCTTGTTGTAGGTGTTTCTGCTTTTAAGTGGTGAGATGCGCAAAATCTTCTCATTCATTTATGAATGGCAGAAAAAGGCTAGAGTCTACACCCAAATAATAATAATAAAAAACATTTTTCCCCACGTGTGTTGGCAGTAATCTATTCCAAGTCTATAAAGAACTGACCATGCCAAAGTACTTCCATTGAAAACAGAAAATCAGTTGTTTCCTTCAAAACCACCAGGGGGCCTTTGTCAGAAACGAGAGTAATTTCCCACATCTAAATACATTCAAATCGCTGGTCATTTGAGCTATAATGAATTACTTTGATGATATATATTCAAATTGATTTCCACACAAAGGGATGTAGCATGCAGGCAGATGTTCATTTCACTGCTTACATTAAGCGTGCGCAGTGTGAAATCCCTTATTAGTTCATCTCATTACCTTTGTGCCAATTGGCAATTAGAGTCTCCTCCTCCACAGCCCTAGAGGATGTTTTCACTTCATTCTCATGCATCAAGGCTGTTTAAATTGATTTAATGTCCTCCACTTGTCATATGTGGCTGAATGTGAGGGGACACACACACACACACACACACAGTCTCACAACACTAATGACGTGACATCCACGAGAGGCAGATTCAGGAATTTCGATGAGTGAGATATTTGTGACATATTTCCGTCACCACTCACCCGTCAAAGAGGTTGCAGGACTCGACGCAGGTACGGCCACGTCTGAAGTATCGACAGGAAAGACACTGGTCCGGCCCCAGGCCCCAGCAACCGTCGTCAGAGCACATGCGGTCGCACAACATCTGCTGTTGAGCTGCACACAGAGAGATCGGGAGAAACAAATAAAACACAAACCCACAATGCAATTCAAAAACAAAAAGATATTTGTGGAAGGGGTTAGTGGGATTATCCCTGCTTAGCTGTAGAAATGGAACACCACTGTGGGTAATAATGAGGGGACGTGTAATGAACATAAAAGACTAGCGCAGTGAAGATGTTCTTTGTAGGTAGCACTCGCTAAGTCAGGGGTCTCAAACTCCTGGCCCGCGGGTCAATTCCAGCCAAAAAACCCCACAAATTTGGCCTTTGTTTGATGTGTAATGATTTATTTTTGCCAGTTTGGATTAAAAAAAGAAAGTTTTGTTCTTTCATTACTGTTCTTATTTGCATTGTTGTAACTGTGCACAGTGTAAATATACGCACATATATATTTATGTATATACTGAATAAATAAAAATCATTATTTTACTGTACTTATAATCATCATAACTGTGCTTATCTGCACTGTTGTTTATACGGTAATTTAAAAAAATATACAAAAAAAAAAACAAAAAAACAAAAACAAAAAACACCAAACTGTGGAACAAGACAATCTGGGACTGTACTTTAAGCAAAAAACATAAGAACAGACCAGGAAGACATAAACAAACCACAGTTGTCCACTCTTTAGTGTAGTTATTGAATAAAAGGGAAGACTTAGGTGCTTCAGTGGAGCAGAGCCATGAATGTACCATGAACAATAGTGGAATGACTAGGACTGAGAAAAAGACCAGGACCAATGGTGTGTTCTGTATCTGTGCGTGTGATTGTGCAGAAAAACATCTCTGCCACTGCAGGACCTTAAACCAACATCTATTTTAAATTTGCCCTTACAATCAATTCTCTTTGTTGTCCTGGAGGCTGCTTTGATCTTTAGAGTGACACCCATGTTGTGTGTGAGTGGCAGCCTGATGAAGGGGGAAACAGCCTCTTCATCAAGAGCTACACAGTCAATGGTTGACAGGACTGAGCCTAATGAAGCCATTGATCTCTTACATATACACACACCAGACTCATTAACTAGTTATTGATATCATCAGCAGCCAAGAAACGTCATGGAGGCCAGTGTGTGTTTTCTTACGTTCACCTGGCAATTGGCAAACAACCTACACAATGTCTTCACACGGTCCATCGTCAGACCAATAAATGGCCCCGTGTGGTAGCACCTACGAACTGGAGAACAGCACACAGTATTGTGTTGCCACAAACAAGTGTTCACGTGATGCATCGAGGTGTTTTCTCACGAGGAATGGAAGAGGACATTTCATGGCCAAGGACAGAGAGTGAGAGATGCTGCTAACAATTCTACCTTGGAGACAGACAAGTGAACATGAGAAGCTGCCAACATGGGGGAATTACACCCGGAAAAAAAAATGAACAGGAAGATTTTTGAAAACCGCTGTTTGACTCATATTGTAAATCTTTTTCCTGGCTTTCTCTAACACGCCAAGTGTAAGAAGACCAATGTCATAAAAAAAAGAAAAAAAAAAAAAAGAAATAAAAAAACACTTTTGCAGCCCACGGGGTAAATGCGGCCCACCAAGCCATTCTGTGTGGCCCATAGCAGCCTTGTAATGAAGTACATGCTCCTATGTTTCTTAACATAAACTATTTTTTTAATACACAGAGGAATTGCCTAAAGCAGACCACAAACATCAACTAAAAATAGTCTTTCTGAATATCTGGATTGTTTAAAGCTGATGTTTTTCCTTTTTATTATTATTTACCATTTAGTTGTTTGTTTGTTTTTTTGCCCCAAACCACAGAAATTTTCCTTTTCACTATTTTTACCTGTGTGGCCTAATTTAATTATTCGTTTTTAATTCACTAATTTCATTTATTAATGATTTACTTTTTTAAATAGATGAGAGTAGATATTAAAAAATATAACAGTGTTGTTTTTTTGTGTTTTTGGGCATTAGTGGAAAATAATACCCTTTGTTAGTTCATTTGTTATTCCATTAATTTGCAAATTAACGCTAATTTCCAAATGGGAATACACTCCTAGGAAACACTTGTGTTAAAGAGTCATTATCTATAAACACTAAGCTCCTTGTCATTGTGAACACAGCTCCGTAGTTACAAATGAAAACTAACAGGTCAGGCTGTTTACATTTGTCTTGTAATCTTCTCAAAATCATATTACAAGTGAAGGCTAACATACATTTTCAAACACAATGTGTTGTTTAAATGAATTTCAAACAAGAAAAAAAAAAAGATAAAAACATGTTTATTTTACTATTCCATAACCTTTATTACTTACTGCACTCTTTTGGATCTCTGTTGTTGCGGATCAGGACTTTCTGGCTGGGAGTCCTGAAGAGCGACGTCCAGTTGACAGTGTTGTAGAAACAAAGTCGGCTGTTGTTTAAAATGTAGACATTGCCGGCGCTGATCTCGTCGAGTGACTGAAACTGCAGGGAGGAGATCCATCGCTGCTTCAGGATGAGCAGAGAAATAACATTCCCACTGTGGGCAGCAGAAAAGAAGGACGCAACATCAGTGATGATGAAGGAGATTTTAAAATATTCTTCATAAGCAATGACACACAAATAAAGATAGATGTTTGATATACAGTACATATATAAAACATTACATCATCATTTACAGGCCACAGAAGGTGGGTTTAAAATGTAGTTTAAACAGAGCATACAGCGGTAAACTGTAGGTGAAAAAGACAGGCAGGATCGAAGGAAAACACAACAAATAAAAACAAACAAAGATCTGATAAAACAGAAAGTTAAATCATAAAAAAGCAGGCAAAAAAAAAACAGAAAAATGTTGATGATGAGAGACAGTCAGATAAAACTGATGGAGTAAACGATGACTGCCATTGTGTCAGCTCTGAATGACTGCTGAGATTCATGTTCATCTTTGGTATTCAGGAAACCAAGATGCAATCTCCTCAGATAGTTGACCGACGTCGACTACCGTATCTGCTGCTCGTATGGGAGAGAGGAGCCTGTTATCAGAGCAACGCTAATCAAAGCCGCGCAGCAACAAAGAGCCTTCACGCAGAGCAACACGGCACAACGGCTCATTAAATCCAGCAGTTAGCATCATAACACAGACATAGAATAGAAGGACAATGAACAGAGACAGCTTATGGTAGAAGCCAAGTCACTGGTGTTAACATACCATTACAGTTAGTTTACTTCAGTTTGAGCCCTGGATTGATCATTAAGGGTGACTAATGACAAATCTGCTTCTATTACATGGGATATTCAGGATACTATACTACGATTACAGGTTACTAGATTTGTTAATATGTATATGTTCTTTGTAGTACTTGCGTGGTGAAAACATTTTTATTCACTACAGCAGGCCTGAGCACTGCCTGCTGTGACCACTCTATTAAGAGGAATAGACACAGTTTCCAGGACAATTATTAAAGCCAATTTTAAGTTAAAAAAGCATTGACGGAAACAAGATGGTCATTTATCTACATTTATGTAATGACGAAAAGGAAATGCCAACAGAAAAGCTAAAAATATTAATTATCCACAGAAAGTGGTCAGTTCACACTAGAGTAACCACACTCCACATCTTGATGCTGGTGTTGGTGCTTTTGTGAATTGTACATTCATGGCGGCAAACCTGTTTAAGACTCAGCATTCCACCTGTCCTGAACCGTTCTCAACCTCTTCACTGCCACTCCTGCCTCCCTCCCACACTACTGCAGTATCCTACCACACCCTGTAATATAGCTCCTTCTGACTTTTTCTAACAACACTCGCATTCAAACTTTTTTTTTTACACCTACCTGTACAGAGCTCTTCCTCCGATGGTGGACAGGCTGGAGAACACACTCAGATCTGTCATGTTCTCAGGCCAAGCCTGGATGTTAAGGAAACCTAAAT